CTCGTGCCTCGAAAATTAAGCACGCTCCCATCTCTATCGCTTACCTCTTGGCCAACTCCTGCCGCCGCCAGCAGCTCCAGCCATTTGAGTCGCTCAGTTCCTCAGGCGGTAGCCGAATATGCATAAAAATTAAAATGCTGCCAGGAGCTTCATGTCCTCCTATCTGTAGATGGGGCGTGATTCACATGGCTGATGACATCACGGCCGAGATAGGGCCAATTTGACACTATATATATATATATCTCACACTATATACATATTTTCCGCTGCATATCACATGTAACTATCTCTGTGCACAAAGTCAAGGTTTCGCTACGTGACCAAAAATGCAATTCGTTTAAAAATGTTTGCAAGCACTGATTACTGATTGAGTTGATTATTTTCGCCACACTGCAGGATGCCGCCATTTGTGTCAAGTTTCATTTGGAGCGCGAGAAAAATCCGCATAAATTCAACAGCCGCATGAAGAATAAGCTTTGGTATTTCGAATATGCAACGTCCGAGACATTTGCCGCCTCCTGCAAGAACCTGCACGAGAATATCGAGATTGTGGTGAGTATCTCATTAAAATAGCCAAAAAAAAAAAAAAAACTAGGCAAAAAACTTACCAATTTGGCTGCGTTGCAGTGCGATGGCGTTGCCTTGGACCTGGCCAATGGGCCGCATTTGCAGGGCGTCGCCCTGCTCAATATACCCTACACACATGGCGGCTCCAATTTGTGGGGCGAGCACTTGTCCCAGAAGCGCATACGCAAGAGTGCGGGACCATTTGGCAAGAGCAGGAAACTCAAGTCCAGCGACAAAGAGTTCTCAGCGACCAGCTTTAATTCGGTGGATCTATCGGTGGCCATACAGGGTATGTCACATATTCCAAACACTTGGCTGCAGATACAACAACAGACTTTTTCATCTCGACAGATTTTGGGGATCGTCTGATCGAGGTAATTGGCCTAGAGAATTGCCTGCACATGGGTCAAGTGCGTACGGGTCTGCGTGCTTCCGGTCGCCGTTTGGCTCAGTGCAGCGAGGTCATCATCAAGACCAAAAAAACATTTCCCATGCAAATCGATGGCGAGCCCTGGATGCAAATGCCATGCACGGTGAGTAGATAACTGCATTTGCATCAAACTTGAATATTGAGTATCCAACTAAGCCGTGTTTGAACGAGTCACCAGAACCGAAGACAAACCGAGTTCGAACAGGTCGACTGAGTAACATGTTCGAGCCAACATGTTGTAGCTGATGCAACTGCAACTCGAACTCAGCTTAAGGCTTGACTCGTTCGAATGACATATCCGAAAAGCGTTAGGGTTAACTCGAAGCGGGGCCTAAAATATTCAATATTGATTTATAATTTACATTTACATATAGATAAAAGTTACGCACAAGAATCAAGTTCCTATGTTGATGGCGCCGCGCTCGGAGAAAGGACGTGGATTTTTCAATATGCTCTGCAGCTGATTCAGGCGCAGCGCATCGAGCGACTTCATTGGCCGGCGACAGGCCCTCGAGTCAGCCGATGAGCTGGAAGATGATTATCGTATTGTAACCAGAAGCACCACCGTCCATAATTTACCTTAGCAAGCATAAGTAGCTAAAAAGTGTTTATCCCACAGGCTTGCACAACCGGTTCGCTTAGTTTTAAATAGAGTTTATAGCAGCCAGTGTTGTCAATTCAGCTAAATTATAGCTAAATTCGGCTATTTTTAGTTGTCGGCCGAAAACAATTGCATTTTTTAATTGATATTAGCTGTTTGTTTTTTTGGCTATTTTTTTGGATTTTTATTTTTAACACTGGATTGAGCTACTTTTTGCAGTTGACAACACTGGCATTTAACAAATATATTAGTAATTGTGCATATGACGAGTTCGAGTGAGTTGTAGAGCTTTATAAATAATTTTTAATAGTCAAAATATACTACTACGTACGCCGAGTACTATAAAAGTCACAAACATTCCAGATAGTTCAGTGTGCTGTATATATATGTATACAAATATATATATATATATACATATGCGCAGCTAGTTTGTATATATCGTAAATATATAGCATAGTTATAATTAAGTATAAAAAAATCTCAGAGTTATGCATCAGTGTTAACCATGTGAAAGCTTTAGATGTACTATATAGAGTGGTACATGTATTTATTAGACACTGTAAGGCCACACACACACATACACACACTCACACACACACACTCACACACAACTTGTCCAATAATGCAACTAAAATGAGACCAAACATTGTAGTGCGAATTTTAAAAATAGTGCACAATTCTACACACAAATAATAGATATATATATACATATATATATAAACATTTACATATACATACATATATTTACAATTAAATCCGTCGACATTAGAGTACGTGCTGCGTGCTGTGTGTTGACAAATCAGAGTTTGATTTTATTTCAAAAAAAGGAAAACGAATTTATTTCTTTTTTAAAAAAAAGCACCCACACATATTGAAACATATCACATTGGCAACATTTTCTGAATTTTTGGGGAATGACATTTAATTCCGTATATTGGGCTAAAATTTTGTTTAATTTGAACACACAGCACGCGCATAAGGCTAGCTAAAATATTTATATAAAATATGTTATTTATTTATTATATATTGTAAATAGTAAAAATGTAACTTGATATACAAAATATCAATGAGAAATGGTGCAGCTTTAAATGAATTTTGATAAAGAACAAAACAAAAAAAAAAATACATAAAATGAGATACAACAAAGTACGAACAAATGCAAAATGTGTATATTTAATATAGTCCCATAATAATAATATGCAGACATATAAATACTCAGACAAAACAACAAAAAACAAAAAACGTATACACCAAAAATGAAATTACCGAAAAAACTAGAATCGAATCAATATCTGAGCCGAATCCCTAAAACTTTAGTAAGTACTCATAGACTCTCATCGGATTGTAAATATATAATATAGTTAAAGATTAACTGGAAAATAAATATATATGCATGTAAGTTCCAATCTATATAATATATCATATAGAGTTCTATGGTATAAGATAGAATAGAATTGATTGAATTGATATTATTGAAGCATTCCTTGCAGGCATATAATAAGCATGCTCTAAACGAACCCTAAACTATTGAATACTAATATATATAAAATATTATACTAATATTTACACATAGTACCTATTTATTTACTACTAACTATAACTATACAAGAGCATGAAAATACTCAGTTGTTGTATTAACCAGATATTAAAATTGAATTGTTGATGTCGAAGCTATATCCAGACATCATGTGTTAGCTTTATGTTAGACTAGTCTAGAGATCAGATACGAAAAAGGAAATTGAAATTGAATTGCACCAGTTGCAATGCATATATATAATCTTTTGTTTTCAATTACAAAGCAAAGCAAATATATATATATATACAAAATGCATATAAATCGATTTAATTTTTTGCAAATAACATTTTCGATGCGAATCGTAGCGCCCACAAAACTGTGTATTCGTTTCCGAAATGGGAACGAATAGCTTTCTTGTGTCTTGGCGTCGGGTTGCAAATGCCACACAGTAGCCAGTTAACATTAATTATAAATGAAATGAATATCTACTATTAGGGATAAATAAACCAAACAAACAAAAGATAACTCAACTTAAATACAGTCTAAACAATAAGATAAATAACTATGTACTATATAGAACCACAGACTAAAATGTATTTATTTACGCAAAATAAGCTAAACTTAAAAAAAATTACACTAAGCATATAACAAATATTTATGACTAACAGAAGCAGAAATAGCCGAAATAGCAAATAAATTAACTTACTAACCGAAAAGGCCAAAAAAAAAAAAATAAATAAACTAATTAAAAAGCATGTATGTTAGTTGTCTTAAAATTAGTTTAAAATAAGTACTCTTCAAAATTCCCTCCCCAATTTGTTGTATATATAAAAATACTTATTGTACTCGTATTGTTTATACTTTTATTGTAGCAAATTCATATATGTGCCATTATGCAGCTTCAAGTGCTTAAACTTTAAATATATAAATTAGGTATTTCGATTCAGTTGAAAACTTGCCTCCGCTTTTACTGGTTTATTATAATAAACCCCAAATTGGTTTTCAATTGTGCCAAGGCTCTTGAAATACATACAGTATATCTAATTAGAATAGAAAACTAAGAATCATAACCATCTATGTAAGCCACGCCTGTAATCAGTGTTTAAAACAAGCCAATAATAAATACAATCTATCTGTATAGATGTTATTAATCAATGCTTCTTTGGTTTTCTTCAATATATAAACCGTAGGCATTGCCTAAACTTAACTTAACATACGGACCGTATATACTTATAAAGGTTAGTACAAGATTTTTACTCTGTTTGCCGAACTGGGCTAAAATCTCGCAGGTGCGGCAAGGATGCAGTGCCATGAATGGGCGAAACAGCACCGGATGCTCCATTTGCGTTAGCATTTCGTATAGATCGGTACGCGATGCGTCTGGCATAAATACACTCCACGTGGCCTCTAAATCCAAGAGGCGACCGTCTACGAAATGTTGCTTAATGTATGTTAGTTGTCTTAGAAGAACAAGCCGCAAGGCAAAAAAGTTCAAAGTTACCTGATCTATGTGCTTGAAAGTAGAGCATGGGCACCTGATAGGAAACACTGTAGACGATGTGATATTCCACATTAATCAGCTCATCGTTTGCTTTGCATTTGATCTTTTGCGTGTATTTCAGAAAACTATTTGGCTCTTGATCATCCTAGAAGAAATAAAGTCAGTTAAGTGGAATTTGTGATGGAGCAGCACTCACTTTTTCATACAATTGCCAGCTATCGTTTAATTGCTGTGAGATGTCCAGAAACTGTTTGGTCTGGCTAAGAAACTCTGGCCAAGAGAGTGTAGCGCTCATGTTGTGTTGTGCTAGTAAAGAAAAAGAAAGCAAATATGAGTAAGAAACAGAACAAGATACATAACTTAAACTAGCTGAATATAAACACAGTTGTTTTCTTTACATAAAAAGCACATACACGGGGACATATGCCTCATATACATATATATATATTATTATTATACGTAATCGACAAATCGAAACTGTTTACATTTAAAAGCTCCTTAACATGGATTACTTAAGGATAACACATAATTAACTTTACTACAAAGCAGTTTAGGGCAACAACAGAATGCAGCTTTTTAAACCTATAATAAGCTGAAGAGAGGCATCTCTCCATTAAGAATTGCGTGGCTCCCCCTCCAAAGCGGTCACCTGAATATTCTCATTGCGTCGCACTTGGACAACAGTCACTGTGCCAGCTTTGTCGTCAAACTTGCAGGTGACCGTAACCTCGCTTAGCTGGAAGGTGAATATTTGTGAGCCGTATTTTGTGCGCAAATATACGGAACGTGGATCCGCCTCCAATATTTCGACAATGCATTGCTTATGCACCTGCAGCTCCAGCAGCTGAGCTTCGGCATGCTCGTTAAAGCAGACGGTCAGGCGATGACCGGCCACCACCCAATCGGGCACACGCACTGCGCTGGGCAATGGTGGTGCTGATGGCGTTGGCTCCACGTGCATATTGCTAGCTGTGTAGCCGGCGGCGCCATATAATTCGAGATCCGATTCTTCGCCGTCCGGCTCCTGACGCGAACCATAAAAGTCGGCGCTGTTTTCATTCGGCATAGCGGCACTACGACCTTAGGATGGACACAAATGGAATCAATGCAAAGAGAGTCCGTGTAAAAGCCGGCCAAACACGCACCTGAGTCGTCGCTTAGAACTGGCGCATCATAATAGGGTATATACGGTTTAATATCCAGCACAGGCGTGCCATCTACCATATCAGTGCCAAAGAAGCTAATGGTGGCGCCGTCGATCTTCTCAATTTCCACCAACGACAGTCCAATGGGACAGGGCCGATGCGGGGAACGTGTCGAGAACACTCCAATTCGCTCGCCGCCCAAACGTGGCGGGGCAACCTTTGCCTTCGGATGCGCGTTGTTGCGATGGAAGTGATAGATGAGCCACATGTGCGAGAAGTCGGTTAGGCCTTCCAGCGAATGTTCCGGATTGGTAAAGACGCCATCGTTGAGCTGTATGAGGCTACGGAGACGACTGCCCACACTCGATTGGCGGGGCACGGCGCGCTTCTCTGGAAATGCGCTGCGTATGATGCCGATGGGCTTGAAATTGGCCACATCCTCACAACCGTTTACATTGGTATCATTGCTGGCGTTCTGGATGGTTTCACTTACGGTTAATATTGTTTGCTAAGTCGCCCCCCCACTCACCTGGCACGCACCTGCAAAATGAGCGATTCCGGTTTGTCCTTGCCCTTGGCATTTATGTTGGCGCAGCCTTCGCAGCGAAAATCCTGCAGCAGCCGGTTTATTGTTTCAATGTCCTTGCGCTGCACATGCTGCAAGTTGCGCACTTGCTGTCTGCACATGGAATCGAATTCAAGGTACATAAATAACTTTGAACTTGAACTTCAGCAATATGCAAGGATTTCATTGTACCTCAAGTTGTTAATCTCGTTCCGCGCAATAGTTAATTGATTTTTCAGATCATCCTCGTGCATGTTCGTAATGCGAAAACACCGAACCGAATATGCTTACACTTAATTTAACATTTAAAAACATGTGCTTAATATTAATTCTTTCATTTATATTCTCGCATATTTACCTATTCCTTTTTAAGCTGCCATTCACTTTACCGCAAGTGTTTCGCCAGTCAGGTCTGCATATCGATTTATTTGATTGCCATTCACACAAAACCAGAAACGATAAAGCGTCAACTATCGTGCGATATATCGATATGTTTAGCCAGCCCTGGCCAACAATGACTTTATAAATTTCATCTGCTAGCAAAGCTGAAAACCAAGCACACATCAAGTTGTAGGTTTGAAATTTAAAGAAAAAAAGGTGAGTAGGGCAGCCAAAGGTAATTAAATAGTTTAACAAAAGCCTCTTTTACATTTTTGCACAGTCAAATTATAAAAATCATATAAAATGTCTCGCGGAAGTTCAGCCGGTTTCGACAGACACATTACAATCTTTTCGCCCGAGGGACGCCTCTACCAAGTGGGTGAGTATTGCGGAAAATAAATCATATAGTATTCCAATTTACTAATTGCCTTTCTTTAGAGTATGCATTTAAGGCCATCGAGCAGGAGAACATCACCACGGTGGCTTTAAAGAGCGGCGACTGCGCCGTTGTGGCCACCCAGAAGAAGGTGACGGAGAAGAATATTGTGCCCGAGACTGTGACACATTTATTTGGCATCACCAAGCAAATTGGTTGCGTTATGACCGGACGCATCGGTAAGCTCAACATTTGAATGCATTATCAGATTGGAACTTGTTTAATAATTACCTTTGCAGCGGACTCACGATCGCAGGTGCAAAAGGCACGCTATGAAGCAGCCAATTTCCGTTACAAGTACGGCTACGAGATGCCCGTGGATGTGCTCTGCCGTCGCATCGCCGACATCAATCAGGTGTACACGCAAAATGCCGAGATGCGTCCGCTGGGCTGCAGCATGGTGCTGATCTCCTATGACGATGAGCTCGGTCCGTGCGTCTACAAAACCGATCCGGCTGGCTACTATTGCGGTTTCCGTGCCTGTTCGGTGGGCGCCAAACAGATTGACGCCAACAGCTTTCTGGAAAAGAAATACAAGAATAATTTATCCGAGGAGAAGACCATTCAATTGGCCATCACCTGTCTGTCCACCGTGTTGGCAGTTGACTTTAGGCAGAACGGCATCGAAATCGGAGTTGTCAGCAAGTCGAATCCCCAGTTCCGCATACTCGACGAGAAGGAGATCGAGGATCATCTAAACAAAATTGCTGAAAAGGATTAAACGCCCAGCGTTTGACCTATAGATCTTATATTGAACTATTTTATACAACTTGTAAATGGCATTGTGGAAAACATAGAAAAACAAGAACTAAAAGGCATTTTCTCATTTACCAACTGTCGCGTTGTAATTAGCTTTAATTTTCCTTCTTCTTGTGCACCTTTCCGCCATAGCGCATCACAAAGGCGTTAATATCAAACTTGCGCTTACAGCCCTGATAGTTCATGTAGCGTATCTTGCCAAAGATATCGCGCTCCTTCCAGCCTTGATCGTGCACTCCGCCGATGGACCACATGCAGCCCACATAGCCGTTGGGATCGCGTCCGTCCAGGCTGTACTTGTCGTTCAGCAGTATGCTATATTCCAATGCTTGCTCCGGGGTTTCCGTCCACTCCAATATCTTTTTGGCCCAGTACATGCGCAGAAATCCGTGCATTTTGCCCTCCTTGACCAGCTGCAGCTGTGCCGAGTTCCACAGGTCGTCGTAGGTGCGCGATTGCTCCAATTCCTCGAGCGTATAGCACGGACTGCGCTTATCCTTGCGATGCGCCTGCAGCGTTTGATATGCCCAGTCATGCAGACCCTTCAAGCTGTCGTAGTGCTCGTTGTAGTAGCAAAAGTTGTCGGCCAGCTCGCGACGGACAATCGCCTCCTCGCAGAAGGCATCCGCCGATGCCTTGTGCATGGCACTATAACGCTGCACCTCCAGAATGCAGCGCTGTGCCGATATCTGACCGAAGTGCAGCCAGGGCGAGAGTCCAGACAGTGCATTGGCCGTGGGATCATTGCGCTTCTCATTGAATAGCCGTAGACGACGCGTACAAAACTCGTACAGCTGTCGGCAGCCAGCCGTATAGCCGGGCTTGGCCCAGTCCACCGCATCGACGGTCTTGTCGCAGGTCAACATCGCCTGGGCAGCAGCCCAATCAGTGGGCTCTTTAGCCTGCCCCTTGCCGTGCGGATGCCTGATGACGGGCGGAAACTCTGTCAGAAATTCGCCCAATTTCGAGTTGATTTTGTTGCGTATGGTGCGCGCGGCATACTCCTGCTTCTCGGAAGCCACCCACAGCGGCACAATGTTGTGCGCATCCACTTGGGTGAGCGGCACATGGCCCGGCAGGGCCTTGACCACATCCGAGACCCACTGACGCGGCAGCCGCAAGGGCGCAAAGTCGCAGATTACCGCGCCAATGTCCTCGTCCGTCACGAATTGCGGCAAACGCTCCGCAGCCGGCCCCAGCAGCAGCTGGAAAGAGATGTCCAACTCCCGGCACTGCTGTTCCACCTCCTGCAGGCCGCCCAGCAGGAACTTGTAGTGTCGCAACGTTGCGTTTAGAAACTTGGGCACCAGACAGAAGACCACCGTCAGCGGCAGCTCCAGCTTCAGCGCCAGACGCTGGGCAAACAGCAGCGCCCAATTGTCCTGGACGCGCGCATCTCGTGACATCCAATAGACGACGCCTCCTTTGCACGGCTCCTTCACATCGCTGACGTCACTCAGGACGCGCACACGCTTCTTTTTAAAGGCGAAATCGTGTACATCGTTGGCGGTCGCAAAGCGCTGCGCTTGCATGTGGCTGAGAAATTCCTCAAAGTTGTTGTAGCTCGGCTTGGGCTTTTTTTCTGTGGGTATTGTAACTGTTGTTTCCTCGACGCTGCTTTCGTTCTTCTTCGGCTTCTTTTTGGCGCCGCCTGCTGCGCTGCTGCTTTTGGTGCGCTTCATGTGTAATCTAAATGCAAAACTTATTAAAATAAATGATAATATTTATTGTTTACACACTTACAATTGAGAGAGAGCACGAAAGCCGCCAAGCCAAACAAATTTATATTTCACAATTTGCATTGCGCATTGTGTTTTCAGTTTATTTTCAGCTTGGTGTATCTGGTCACACTTTTTCCTTATAAGACAAATTGCCGTTAACCGGACTAACGAGTTTAACAGCAGCTTAACATTGTCTATACAACAGTTGTAAATAACAAAAAGAACTGTCTTTGAATGATTTATATATTTACTCAACTGCATACAGGTATTCTTTTGTTTAAATAACTCTCTTGATATACAGATATATTCTTTCCCATACATATAAATTGTACCATTTAGCAAGTGTTACATCTAGCCTGTGCCGGAAATTACGCATGATTCTGTTTTGTCTTTGGAAATACGTTTACATTAGACTCGATTTATGTTTATGATTTTAGTTAATAAATGTTTAAACGTGTATATACAGCTAAGGAAATCTTGTTGTCTGGCTAATAAAGTATATATAAAATATGGAATTTCATTTAAAATTTGCAATTTATACTTATTTAAAATATAAACCTAATGAATTTACACTACACAATCAAACGAAGCGAAACAAATAAATTACAATATAATAAACAAAATTATCACTAACAATAACAGCACACAAAGTATAAGAATGGCGGCCCACTGACGCTTATCTGCAAGAGAATAACGGTAGTATAAGTATAAATTATAGGATAGTTTAGATAGGTAATTATTACCGTTATTCATGTGTAAAACTTTGGCAACTTTTTTCATTGTTGTGTCCAGCTTGGATTCGGTTGTGTCGAACTCATTCCCGAAGTCATCCAACATGACCGCCTGCTCGTCCAATTCGACGCCGATCTGACGCGAAACAGTCTTAAGAGTGCCAATGGAATCACTTATCATATCCAGCTGCTCATCCTGACCCTGTATCATGCGCTGCTGTATGGACACCGTCTCGCCCACATACCGATGCCCCGGACTGTCCAAACTGCCGCCATAATGACCGGGACTATCGATATCCAGCGCGTTCTCCAGCTTTGAGTATTTGGTGCCACTGTGCCGGGCGGCGGCCGCCGCTGCTGCTGCTGCGGACATGGTGCCGGCTATGGTATTGGCCACCGACTGCGGATTGGGGCAATCTACCAGATAGGTGCGATCGTTGTGCGTATGATATTCGCTGGCCTGACTGTGATTGAGGCTGTGATTGAGGCTGTGATTCCGTGATTCGTTCTCGAGCAATGGCTGATGTGCGGTTATGTCTCTGTCCCTGTTCCGGTTCAGGCTCATCTTATCCTTCATCTGCTTGACCTCATCGCGTGTGTTGTCTATGAAATGGCGCCGGCTGGAGAGTTCACGATTATCTATGCGAAACTTTGTGGGATTCTTTTCAACGATGCGTGCTATAAACAATTCAAAGAGTTAAGGATTGACAATGGGAACAAATCTATCGAATTCTGATTAGTTAGCTGCGATTTGTTTAAAAAAAGGATATTGATAGTGTCCTCCAGATCCTCGAGATCCCATTCAATGCTGCGCAGCGAATTACGCAGCTCCGTTGTGGTCCATTCAACCTCGGCGCCTCCGTTCTCGCCCAGCTCACGCCAACGCAGATAGAGTCCGCGTGTTTTGTTCAGCGCTTTAAAAACCTCGCTATAAAGACAAAAAGAGGGTGCGGGGTGGGCGGGGAGCAGGGTGTGGAGGGAATGGGGTGGGTATACAGGGTTGCATCAGAATGTGTTGGCGCTGCAAGTGCAATATAAATGCATACTCCTTGACAACAAAAAACGGATCCTCCAGAGACATGACCCACGCTCTGTCACGTATTTACTTTCGTTCAAATGAAATTTTTACTGTTTTCCGTAACGGTACTTGACTTTTATATTCATAGGTTCGTCTTTTTTCTGCGCCCCACTCACATAGAGCTCTGCGAGCGAGCAACAACCCCCTCGATTTTCTTTTTGGGGGGGGCTGTGCGTAAATAATGCAAGTTAGAAAATATATGAGAGTTTGCGAATGCAGCCGTTTTTTATTTTTATTTTTTTTTTTTTTGGTTTTCAGACGTAAATATAAAGGACTGTGTGCTAGCACGAAATTCCGTATCAACTTTGAACTAATCTACAGCTACTTTTATTGGAAGTTTATTTTTCAAAAGCACGTTTATTGATTATTGCACATTGCCGTCTTATCTTGTTGTCAGCGAGGGGGGGGAGCGGGTATGCGACAGACCGCGTACGCGGCCAGGCTATAGCGATAGCCAGAAGTAAACTGACGTTACGCTGCCTCCGGAGCGCAAAAGGAGTCTAAAGGTGAAGGCATTTGTTTATGCCGCTCCAGCGTCTGCGCAGTGCTCAATCGCCCTCTGCCACGCAATCGAGATAACAGCCCCCACACGGCAGCAACAACAACAACAACAACAACAAGCCGCAATCTTACCAATTGTTTATTAACTATTTGAGCTTTTCAATCATAACAAATACCGATCATTCTTCTTCTTTGCTAGTTCAAATGAACTTAAATTTAACCGCAAGTTAAGCCTTCGCACTCTCTTTATGACGTTCTCGCTCTCTCTTTTGCTCTCTGCCAGTTTCGCTTGAAGAGCAGCAGCAACCCGTTTGTTGTTAGTGTTTGATTCATTTAACAACTGCTGTTTTAATTTCAACTTTTGACTTTAAGCGCCATATAAACTCACCTACTGCACGTTGCCACCTCATCAATCACGATTTTAATGCAGAAACAGTCTGGCTTAAATGCAAAGCTTGTCTTTTTATCCCAAAATTAACACCTTTTTAGTTACAGCTGTGCTCGGGTATTGTTGTGGCCACTTGTCTCTGTGATGCGCAATGTTAACGCAAAATTGAGTAACGCAAAAATGAGCAATGGAGCCCAATTAGATGAAAATCAGTTACCTCCTTTTTATTTTGGTATTTTAATGCGATTGAGATTTGGTCACACAGTTGTCCGTTGATCTGTTTTTGTATTGCAAGCGTTTAAAAAAACTGCGTACCTGTTTAAACAAAAAAAATATAATTAAAATGCTGCAAAATGATGCGGTGCGCACCTTACAATATGACAGCGAAATACGCGTGGCTCAAACTACCAATGACGCCGAACCTCGAGGTAAACTTTAGGCCAATATAAGAAATTCCGAATGAAATTCACATGAATCATGACAAAAATGGTTAATGTTTTTTTTAGTAACTGATAATTATTCCAGTGGTATAGGTGTTGCTGTAAACGACACAATTGGATTAATTGGCAGAGGGTGGTGAGGTGTGTGTCATACGTCCGTGTATCCGTATCTTATCAGCAGCTGTTCTGCTGTTTTGGTTTTATGGCCGTTTTGTCGTTTCGCCCCATCAAGTGCCTTTGTTAGCCGTCCAATTGACCAAGTGATCGATATAAAGAAAATATTGTACCGAAAACAGATTAGAAATTTTGCTATTGTTTTCCTTTTGCAGTTTATGACGCCCAAATCAGCATAACTGCCCAGCCGCGACCAACATCAGGTAAGTTTTGTGTTTCTTTCGATTATACTAAAACACCAATTGATAAGTGTAAATGATTTTACAGAAGCTCCGCGAATTCCATTGCCCATTTCTACGGTCGCTGGCAGTCGCACCTTTATACCCCTGGCCGGCTACGATTGCCTCGCGGATTTGCCCTCTGTGCATATCGAGCAAACTTTCGAGCTAAATGATTGTGCGTATGAGATCCGGTGATTTGATCTAGAGCCCTGCATCGAGTCAACCGAAACGCGTTTCGGATACTCGAGCTTAGACTCAAAACGTTTAGGCTCGAGCTGTTCGAGTTGCAGTTGCATTCGAGCTCAAACATGTTGCTCGAACTTGGCTCGAGTCTGTCTCTTTTCGGTTGAATCAATTGAGTATTCGTCTTTGATTCGAACAACTGACCCGCTGCTGGGCTCTAATCCTTAATCCTTAATTTCAACTTTACAGCTCTCACAGCCGTTTCGTCGGAGAATCGTTATGTGGTTCGCTCGCCGCTAGGTGATGCCATCTTTGCTGCCTCCGAGAGCTCCACAGAGAAGAATCGCATGATTTGGGGCGCTGGTCGGCCATTTCAGATGCATCTGCTGGACAAAACGCATCAGGAAGCGTTGGTATTCCGCAAGAAGCTGGCGATTGGGGCAATATGTTGCCAGCCCAAGAATCTGGAGATCTGGATACCGCCCGGCAATGTCCTAGGCCGCGTGGTGCAATCGCCAACCTTCACACAGCCGGAGTTTTACATTGAAGACGGCAACACGCATCAGCCGGTCTTCTGTGTGGAAGGACCCGCCAATTTCGGCTTCTGCTGCTACTGCCTGCCCAAAGAGTGCTACTTCAAGGTGAGCTTGAAGTACTTATTTACTTCCAGCTGTTCATCTTGACATCTCTCCTTGACAGATTCACTCGGGTGGCGACCTACGCGCCTCCATAGACCACAAATGGTTGGCCAGCAAATCGCAGTATACCACAAACATTTACTTCAGCGATGCCCGGCTGACGGCCAAGGAGCGTTCCCTAATTCTGGGCTCCGCATTTCTGCTGGTGAGCTGCACCCAAGTTAATTAGAATTATTCGATAACTAAATATACTTCCAATTCTTTCAGGAATATATGTACTTTCAGAAGCGCTTTTAGGACTGGACGTAAAACTTGAAAGAACAACTACGAAATTAAATTTTCACATTGATGTTTTTTTTTTATTTTTGTGTCATTTTCTTTTTTTGTGGTTTGTTTGTAAAGTTTTCATGCTCAGTTTTTTTTTTTTCTGTTTGTTGATATATTTTACAATAATGTAATAAATCACTTCATTTTTGTGTTTGTTTAACATACATATACATTCAATTATATATATATACCATATAATATATAAATATATATATATATATACTTTTGCTATACTTGTAGCCATTTTGTACAATAATTTTCATTAATTTCTATAAACTTTATGTGCATGTGTGTGTTGGTGTGTGTGTGTGTGTTTAGCTAGCCTACAAAACTTAATGTATATATGACAACATAATCTTTATCTATAGTTAGTTTTTTTTTTTTGTAATTTTATTTGATTTTCAATTTGCTTTCGCTAATTAAATATACATATACACACATATATATATATATATAATTAATTAATTAAAACAAACAATTGAAAAGAGTCTCGTGGTCTCGTTTTTTTTCTTCTTCTTCTTCTTCTTTTTGTTGTTGTTAATCTAGAAAATTAAAACATAAACATAATAATAGGGTGTTCATAAATCCAATGCAGAGAACAAACTTCAGAAATTAGGAAGAACTACGTGATTCAAGTGGAAAACGGTTCGGGTTCGGGTTCGGTCGGGGGCGGGGGCGGGGTTGTTGGTCTGGTGGGCGTGGGCTAAGCCTTATAAATTATCAACTAAATTTGTTTAACGCCTATTTACACACAAAAAAAAAATCATCCTTTTGTTTTTGTTTATATATACGACTCACAGCACTTCAGGAGTTTTGTATTTGTTTTTGTTTTTGTAGTTTTTTTTTTATCATTTCGAAAAAGAAATTATAGATCATATATATAGATATATATACGTATATGTATGTGTTTTGTGTGTGTGTATATATTAACTAGGACTATATATAGTAATATATATATATATATGTATAGACGAGTTTGAACAACTTTTCGTAGCTGAGAGTTGACAATAAACTAAACTAAATACTTAAGTTGCAAGCTGCTGTTGCTTTAGACGTTTTATAGTATATGTATATTGTACATATGCTTGACTTGCCTATACACACACACACACACACACACTCACACACGCACTCACACCTGTGTTTGAGTAGCTATAGCTCATAGATACGCGCTTAAAGTGTTTGCCAGCAATCAGCATTATTTTGATTGACAGCTTTTTAAGCTCATTAGCTCATTAGCTTTTCCAGCTGCTGCACCTGGAGTTAAGGCCATGGCCAATTGGCAGCAGGTGGTCAAGCTTCAAGGATTTGATCTCTTTAAGCAAGTCTTAACCAGACACTTGAAATTCTAGTGTTGTGTGTGTGCTTGTGTGTGTGTGAGTGTGTGTAGAGTTTAGTTTGTTGTGTGCCCAAATGCGATATGCTTAGACATTTGATATGCGCTCGTTGATGTTTTTTTGGTCATTGCCGCATCCACTGCTGCTGCTTGGTTGTTGCTGTGGCTGGGCTTGGTTTGGGGTTGGATTTGGGGTTGGCCAGACGTAGGCCTGGTAGTGATAGGGCCACACTCAGGTGGGCTGCAGCATGTACATGTACTGTCAGTTGCTGGCGGTGGCCGCGTTGGCAGCAGCAGCCACCGGCGGCAGCGACAATTCATTTGTATTGCTCCTCGGTCGCTTCTCGATGCTGATGCCGGCCGTCTCCAGCGGATTGTCGCTCTCGTCGCCGTTGCTGCTGCTGAAGCTGCTGCCGGGCAGACGACGCTTGAGGCTGTGCCCGTGGCTCAGCCCGTTGGTGAGCGTCTCATCCTCGGACATGGAGCTGGCGCGCTTGGGCGTATTGCCGGCGCTGTCGTTGTCCAGCGAGGCAATGGCCGAGGCGGCGGCACTGTTTGCCGCACTGAAGCCATCCTCGCTGGCGCTGTCCTGGCCGGCGGCTGGCGGCGTATCCACCGTGGCCAGCTGCAGCATGCCCGACGGCGTCGTATAGCCACTGAGCTTATTGGGATCCTTTTCGAGCAGCTTCTGTGCGAGCAGCTTGAGCGATATTAGGGAATTCTCACAGTCGCTGGTATCGATCTCGGTCAGGCTGATGCCGGCGCGCTCGATCTCCGCATAGGTGCCAAACGGCAGCTTCTGCAGGCACTCCAGCTTCTGGACGTGCGTCTTCGAGCGCAAATGCTTGGCCAGATGTCCGTGTATGCGAAACGCGATCTTGCAGTCGGTGCACTCAAATGGCCGCGGATTCGATGTGGTCGGCACACCAAATGTGGACGTCATCATCACCTTGTTCTTGTGCGCCTCGGAGCGTTCGTGCTTCTGCAGATGACCCTGCGTGCGGAACGAGATGCTGCACGGCTCGCACTTGAACTTGCGCTCCATATAGTGGATGTTCATGTGCAGCGTGAGCTGATGCTGCCGCTGGAACGTCTTGCTGCATATGATGCACGTGGGTCGCGCATCGCTGGCAATGGGCGGCGGTGGCGGCGGCACCACGCGGCCGGGATAGCTGCCAGGTGCGGGGGCGGGAGCGGGAGCAGCGCCAGTTGGAGCAGCGGCAGCTGGAGCGGGAGCGGATTGGAGTTCGGCGGCGCTGCTCGTTGGCGGCGTCGCTTTGAAGCCCTCCTCGCCGACGATGACAGTGCGTGCGGGTGCACTGCCTCCGGCCAGGCTGCTGCTGCCGTTGCTGTTGCTTAGCACGCCACTGAAATCCGTGGCATCCGGCTGCTGCACTGCAGCGGGCAGATTGGCATTGTGCGGCGGCGGCTGCGGCATGGCCAGCTCCGTGCTGCCTTTGGCAACGGACACAGCAACAGGAACTGCTACGGCTGGCTGTTCTGCTTGTGCCTCACCTGGCTCAGTCTCCTCGGGCAGCTGCAGTTGAGCCACAGCCGGCGGCTCGGGCTTCACCTGCACATCGTGCACCTCGTGCACCTCAATGCTGGGCAGCTCCGTGATGCTGAGGACAGGCTTCGGCAGGCTGCCGCTTCCGCTGCTGCTGCTGACGATGGGCGTGCCGCCGGCAGAGCTGCTGCTGGTGACAATGGTGCAGGTGCTGCTGGTGGAGCTGGTCATCATCAGGTAGCTGCGACTGAACTGGCTCTGCTTCATTTTGGCATGCTGCAGCGCCTGCTCCTTGATGTAGGTATGCAGCAGCAGATCGTCGCCTTCGGTCTCGCGCTTCGCCTGCTCCTCCATTTCGGCGGAGATGCGCACCTTGTCGGACACCGAAATCATTGTCTTCATGAAGCCGCTTTCGTTGTTGCCCGCACCGAAGATCACATCGCGCATCTGCTGTTCCTGCGATTTGGGTAGCGTCTGCTCAGACGGCTGGGCAGGAGCAGCTGCAGCAGCGGAAGCAGCAGCGGAAGCGGGCAGAATGTGTTGTTGCATGGAACGCGGCTTGGTCAGGTCCATGGGCGCGCTGCTCTCGTCGTTGGGCACGTCACGCTTCGGCTTGGACTCCTCCGGATTGGAGTAATACTGTTCCTGCTTCTGGTAGTCGAACGGCGGCTTCGGCGATGTAAATGAGCAAACCTGACGCTTTGGCTGCGAACCGCCCGCGGCGCTGCCCGCCGAGGAGCCAATGCTGTTCGCCGGACTGGCCGCCGGACCGGGCGCCTCCGGCAGCTGTGCCGGATACGGTGATACGCTCTGCGGTATCGGCGGTGTCATGGACAGCGAGAGCAGGCCGCGCGCCGCCTCGTGCTCCTTCATGCGCGACTTCGACTCGTCGGTGTCTGCAATAAATATAAAAATGAGTCTCTCTGTGGCGGGCATATGGATGTATATAAATTAGAGCCCATCGAATTAAGCGTAAGCCTCAAGTTTTTGAGACTCATACTCAAATAAAACCAAAGTTCAAGCAGCTCGAACTTGTTCGAGCGTAAATGCAACTGCAACTCGAACAGCTCGAACCAAAATGTTGTGACTCGCTCGATTCAACAAACTGTTCGATAAGTTAAAGCAGCTCGAGTCAGCAACATGTTTGAGCTTAAATGCAACTTGAATAGCTCGAACCGAAATGTTGTGAGTCTTGAGACGCTTGTTCGAGCAAACGAAACGCATTTCAGTTAACTCGTATATATTTAAATGAAACTTACCGCTGCTCTCGGATTCGTTGTCGCTGTAATCATCGGAATCGGACTCGCCGGCCATGGATGAGGTGCGTCCGCCAGCGGATGTTGACGACTGCTGATCGAATTCGACATCGACATCGAGGAATTCGCCATCGGCGGGCATGGGACCCGGATTGATGCCCAGCTCGATGCATTTCTTGAAGTGCGTCTTCGACTGCATGTGCTTGGTGAGATTGCCCTTGGTCTTAAAGCTGTCCAATGGAAATTTATATATTTAAAATGGGAGCTCCTTTGGGAAATTATGGTTAAGTTTACCTGAAATTGCAGTGGCTGCAGGTGAACGGACGCACGTCCGTGTGTGTGCGTATGTGCTTCTTGAGCATGGATGGTTTCTTGCATCGGATGCCGCACTCGGAGCACACATAACGACCGCGTCCACGTCCGCGTATGTATGTGTAATCCTCGTGCGATTCATAGCCACCGACAAGCAATTGGCCCGACTCCAGCTTCTTGGCGGCATCCTCCTCGCTGGCCTTGGCAGCCACATTCGCCTCGCTGAGCGCTCCGATCGACGTGGCCGGCGGCGGCTGCTTCGGCTGATGCTGATAGAACTTGTTCTGGCTATTCACCGCCGTCGAGCAGCTGCTGATCGTCTGCTGTGAGCTGACCAAAGCGTAGTTCAGCTTGCCAGCGCCAGTGCCCGCCATTGACATGGTCGAGCCGAAGCCGAGCATCTTTTGCCTGGAATCGTAGAGGGCCATCACCTCGCGGGGCTTGAAGCCCAACGGATGCGGCTGATTCTCCTCACACACCTGCCACACACTGTACATGGACAGCTTATGCATGCCCGCCACATACGACGGCTGCGGACAGTTCACTGTACAGTAGAACATCTTCGTGCTGGACTTGAGACCCAAATACGTGTAGGCGTGGCCATTCAAATAGAGCTGCACACAGGATTTGGACGGGCGCGGCGTCTCGGGCGAGATCAGGGGCAGGGTATTCGCTGTCGGCGTGATGCCATGGTGACGCTTGGGCGTAAAGGTGCCCGGCTTGAGCGGCAGGCTGGTGGGACGCAGGAACTTTGACTTGGCCGAGCTGGGCGTGGCAGCAGTTGCAACAGTTGCTGTTGCAGATGTTGCTGCTGCTGCAGATGTTGCAGATGTTGCTGCCTCGTCGGGCGTGTCGACGTGCAGCGGCGCCAGCGCCTCCTGCGTCTTGTGCACATTGTCGAAGTTAAAGTGTCGCACCTCCGGCGCCAGCTGCTGCTCCTTAACGTTGTCGGCCATGCGCATGAAATTGAAGGGCGCCTTCTTCACGTCCACGGCGGCAACTGTTGTCGCCGCCGACGTCTTGTTGCTGCTGCTGCTGTTGCTGTTGTTGCTGCTGCACCATTGCATCGCCTGACGCTGCGCGGGCGTCGGCGGCTGGCGACTGAATTCGCTGGGCAAATTCTGTACGCCGCCGAACGGCGACAGCGCCTTGAGCGGCGCGTCGAGCAGCAGTTGCTGCTGCGGATTGGGATTGGGACTCGGTTGTTTGCGATTCGGACTGCGTCCGCGCGGCTGCAGCTGCAGCTGCTGCGGCGGCGGCGGCAACAGCGACAGGCTGCCCGGACCCGGTATGCCGGGCACATAAGGTATCGACTTGTGGCCATCCGCAACATGGTTGCCGCTGCTGCTCATCGGCGGCAACGTCAGCGGATTGAAGGCAGTTATCGAGCTGATGGGCGGAAACTGAAAATGTTGCGACATATTATTGATGCTGCTGTTGCTGGGCCGATAGACATTGTTGTTGGGCAGCGGCAGCGGCAATTTGCGCTCCTTGGTCTCGCTGAGGCGCGGCGACATCTCCTGGAAGCTGCCGCCGGATAGCAAGGGGGTGCGTATCATTTTGGGACTCTTGTCCAGCTCGGGGCACTCGGATATGGGTATCATGCTGCCGCCGGATGAGGTGAAGCGTCGCAAACGCTCCTCCTTGCCGCCGCCAAAGCCGCCCGCCAATGGCAGCTCCTGATTGCCGCCGAGGAAGAGCTGCACGCCCGGAGGCAGCGCAAAGGATTTGCCGCTCAAACTGCTCGCGATGGCAATGTCGCTCAGCTTGGGTCGCTTCGCAGGCGGCGACTCAATAATGATGTTCTCCAGCCGATCCTCGTGCATTTTGGTGATAACGACCTGGGCATCGGGCGCTTTGCGCGGCGCCGCGTAGTCCACCAGCGGGGTCTTGCCCAGCAGCGGGCCGGGCGAGGGCAGCGGCGCGTCCACAAAGCGCAGCGAGACGCCGCTTCCGCTGCAGCTGGCATCGATGCTGGGCGGGATTACGACAGCTGCTGCAACTGTTGCTGGCGGGTTGTTGCTGCTGTTGCTGCTGCTGCTGCTGACAGTTGTTGCTGACGTTGTTGTTGCTGTCGAGGTACGCGCCGGCGACTGCGCCGCGCTGAGCCGACTCAGCACCACGGTGCTGGGCTTGATCTTGAGCTGCGACCAGGCGAGCTTGGCGAGGGAGAGCGGATTCTTCGAGTTGGCCATGTCGCACATGAGCTCCGGCAGGCTGAGCGACTTCGAGTTGGAGCGAAAGTACTTCCTGCTCGGCGATGAGGCCGGGCTGATGGTCGCACTGCTGTTCGCGTCCTGGCAATAGGTGCTGTTGTGATGCTTCAGCTCGTCCGCGCTGCGGAACTCGTTGGCGCAAATGGGGCAGGAATAGACGGCATCGTCGCCCTCGCCAATTGGCACGGCCAGGCCGCGCGCATTCAGCAACAGATTCTTGATAATTGAATTGTTCGGCGGCGCCGCAGCAGCAGTTGCTGTGCTCTTAACAACAGTTGTTGCTGCTGTTGTTGTTGCTGCTGCGAGTGTTGCTGCGAGTGTTGTTGCTTGTTTTGGGGGCATGGCTAGCTTCGTTTTGGCGGACAGATTTAGGGGCTGGGCGTGATTGAGCGGCTGCTGTTGCTGCTCCAGCTTGGGCACCGGCGTTGCCGGATCCTGACGATATTGCAGCGTTTGCAGCGGCAATGGCGACGGCGGCGGCGGCAATTGTTGCAGCTTCATATTCGCCGTGGGCGTTGCTGGCAGCGTGGGCGTGGCTTTTAGTCCTGCATAGGCGCTGCCGCCGCCGCCGCTGCTGCTGCTGCTGCTGCTGCGCTTGAGCAGTCCATTGACACAATCCAGCTGCATCAGTTGCTGCTGCTGCATATACATTTGGTATTGTTGCTGCTGTTGCAGCTGTTGTTGCAGCTGCTGCTGTTGCTGCTGTTGCTGCTGCTGCTGCTGCTTGAGCACTATGGCCTGCGCCAGATTCACTTTCGTCTCGCCCAGCTGCTGAGTGTTGTTGCCGCCGCTGCTGCTGTTGGTCGTCTGATTGCTGCTGTTGCTGCTGCCGCTGTTGTTGCTGCTGCCGCTGTTGTTGTTGCTGGCGTTGTTGTTGCTGGCGCTGTTGTTGGCATTGTTGAAGCTGCGCGAGCGACTCAGCTGCTTGGGATACTTCTTCTGCAGCAGTATCTCCTTGTTCTCCACTATGGCCTCGTTCTGTGAGATCAGCTTCGAGATGTGCTCCTGCACCTTTTCCACATTCTAAAAACAGGCCACAATAAAACCAGATTAAGGAATTTTTTAGATGAATTTATGTTTAGATTTACGCACCACTTGCATGCCGCCGCTGCCGCTGGCAAAGCTGCCCAGATTCGCTGTGGGCGTGGGCGTGGCTGGCGCTGGCAGCGCTGCTGTTGTCGCTGCAATGGCCGCCGTCTGTTGACTATTGGAGCGCACCAGCTGGATGGGAGAGAGAAGGGGGTCTGTTAAGCAAGTCAAAGGCATGTAGAAAGCTTGATAAGCTCACCTGCTGCTGCTGCTGCTGCTGCGGGGGCGGCGGCGTCTGCTGCGGCTGTTGTTGCTGCTGCTGCTGCGGGGGCGCCTTCAGCAGCGGCGAGTGTTGCTGCTGTTGCTGCTGCTGCTGCTGTTGATGGTGTTGCTGCTGCTGAAACTGTTGATGTTGCTGCTGCTGCAGCTGAAAGTGCTGCTGGAACTGCAGGGCGAGCGCATGCTGATGTATTGCAGCTGCAGTCGGATTATAATACTGCGGCTGTCCCATATAGTAGACGCCCGTGGGCAGCGGCGGCGCCGGAACCAGCGCGGGCAGCACAACGGGATTAGCTGGATTTGCGGCAGCCATCAGCAGCGATTGCTGCTGCTGCTGCTGTTGCTGCTGTTGTTGCTGGTGTTGCTGCTGCTGCTGCTGCTGAAGCTGTCGCTGCAGCTGCACCTGATGCGAGTTGATGTGATTGTTGAGCTTCAGCTGAGTGCTCAGCGAGAGCGTGGGATGCACCAGCGTTGGCTGCGGCGCCGGCAGCTTCTGTTGCTGCAGTTGCTGCTGTTGTTGCTGCTGCTGTTGTTGCTGCTGCTGTTGCTGCTCTTTGCTGCTGCCGGGCGCGTAGAGCGCTGCATTGTGAAATTTGGGCTTGTATGGCTTGTAGTCAATCGACTGACGATGCTGCGCTGTCGCCGAGTGCAGCGTCTCGGCTGTGGCGGGCGGCAGTGTTCCGGCGGCGGGCGAGCCCAGCGGCAATTGTTGCATGTGCTGCGGCAGCGGCGGCTGTTGCAGATACGCGCTCTTCGCGGCGGACAGCGTGGATGGCGAAGGCGTCGGCGAGGCCATGGGCTCGTCATATGGCGAATCCGCGCGGCTTAGCTGCAAAGAGCAGATTATTAATAATTAATATATGTTATACAACTAAAATAAAATAGAGCTTATCTTAAGATAACAGTTCTCTAACTAACATGCTGTAAATTAACATTTTCAACTCAACATTCAGCTCGTCATTCAGTCAATCAGAGCTAAAAGTGCTCTCAGCCTTCTGCTTGTGTTAAAATAACAGCTCTCTAACTAACATGCTGTTTATTAACATAGAGCCCCAGTTAACATTTTATACCTCACTTTCAGTTCGTTATTTAGTCAATCAGAGCTTAAACTGCTTCTACTGCGTATGTTAAAATAAGAGCTCTCTAACTAACATGCTGTTAAATAATATTACACCCCAATTAACATTTTAAGCTCAGCTTGCAGTTCATCATTCAGTCAAACAGAGCTAACAGTGCTTCTACTGCTTAGGTTAAACTAACAGCTCTCTAATAAACATACTGTTAATTAACATAGCACTCTAGTTAACATTTCAATAAGAACACTTACGACTTCCACACTCAGCAGCTCGGAGCTGCTGTTGCTCAGCTCCCCGTCGCCATCCTGGTCGGAGAGTCCGTCCGCCTCGTGGGCGGGCACATCGAAGCCGCGCATGCGCGCCGCATGGGAACGTGAACGGCAGTGCTTGTAGAGATTGCTCTTCGTTTTGAAGGCAATGCCGCAGGTGTCGCACGGATACGGCCGCTCATTGGTGTGGGCACGTATGTGCTTCTGCAGCACCGAGGGCTTAGCACAGATCAGATTGCAGTAGGGACAAACATAACGACCCATTTTCTCTGCGAGACCTGTTGCTGTTGTTGTTGCTGTTGTTGGTGGTGTGGCAATTGCTGCTGTTGTGGCTGTTGCTGCTGCTGTTGTTGGCTGCGTCTGTTGCTGATGCTGTGCGAATGTTGCTGGCGACAGTGTCGCATTGCTGGCATAGTTGCTGTTGTTGCTGATGTTGCTGCTGTTGCTGAGCGGTGTCCGTGTTCTGGGCGCACCAGCAACAGCAATATTTTTACTGCTGTTGTTGTTGTTGCTCTCATCATGGCTGTTGTTGTTGTTGTTGTTGTTGGCATTTACGAAATTGGCACTGAATTCATTGCTAGCCGGCAGCAAAGGCACGGCCTGCTGCTGCTGCTGCTGCGACGGCAGCTGCTGTTGTGTCACATGTCCATTGTAGAGCGGCGGCGGCGGCGACAACGAGCTGTTGGATGAAAGCGATGTGGTGCGCACCGCATCGCCCGTTTCCGGTTCGGTGGTGCTGGCCAGACGCTTAAACTTTTTGTGCAAATAGCGCAAATTGTTTGAAGTTTTCCAGTCGCCAGCTGCTGTTGCTGCTGCTGCTGCTGTGGCCGCATCATCGCTGTTGTTGTTGTTGTTAATGTTGCTGATGATGTTGCTGCTGCTGATGTTGTTGCTGCTGTTGGTGGTTGTTGTGGCCACGCTCGTTGCGCTGCTTGCCACATGCTGTAGCGTCATTTTGCTATCACTTACGTTCGCTTTATCTCTAGCCTTAAACTCATAATTATTCTCACTAATACTATTATCACTGTGGTGGTTGTTGTTGTTGTTGCTGTGGTTGCTGCTGCTGCTGCTGCTGTCGGCAATTTTAGCTGGCAACTCGCTTGGTTTATTATCTCGCGTGCTCTTGTTGTCAATTGCTGCTGCTGCTGTTGTTGTTGTTGTTGTTGTTGTTGCTGCTGCTTTGCTGTTTAGTTTGCTGCTGTTTGCTTTGAGTGTTGCAGTTGTTGTTGTTGCTGCTGCTGTTGCAGCAACTATGCTGCTGCTGCTGCTGCTGCTGCGATATGTTTGCTTCTTAGTTGTCGCTGTTGTTGTTGCCGCTGCTGCTGCTGCTGCGGCCGCTGCTGCTGCTGTAGCACGTCGCGTGCTGCTCACTTTGTTGTTGTTGTTATTATTGTTGTTGTTGTTTTTATATTGTTTGCTCGCTGTCTTGTAATGTTTCGCTGTGTTTGTTGCTGTTGCTGTTGCCGCTGTTGTTGTTGCACTTTCCATAGTATCATCAAATTTGCTCGCCTGCGATGTGTTGGCCGCGGGCTCATCTGAAAAAATTTATAAATTAAATTTTATTTCAAGTAAAACAAAAATATAAAGTTGCTTATTTGTATAGTTGTGTGATTGATTGATTGACTGACTGATTGTTGATCGTTGTTTGGTCTACTGTTAACAACAGTATGTTAACTTTGGCAGCTGTTATATTTACATTAACAGTAGAGTGAAGTAAAATTAACATTAACAGCAGAGCGAGATAACTTTTTGATTTGATTGACGGCCAAAATGATTGATGATCAACGCACCGCACAAACCGTAAGAGCTAGGCTGATGAAATTTGAACAGTTGTTTCCCTAATGATGCATATATACCGTGTTTAATCGATTTTCGAAGGAAGAAACAAATTGATTATAAATTGAACGACAAGTAGTTCGCCCAGGCACACTTGCTTGCATCGTATAAATATTTAATAGACTTCACAGGCAGCTACTGTCTGAAACCAACTGTCCTGGACTTGGCTACTCTATAAAATATTAATGTGCATGCAAGTTTACCCCTCGGAGTGACTACATGTCGCACTAACAATTACTAATTGAGCGCTCAATCTTATCAGAGCGCAGCCTGTGCTGATAAAAGCGTTCGGGCAAAGTTTAGAGCTGGTTAAAATGCAAAAATAAGCTTAAATGTTTGAGAAATATGCTCGATATTTGTATAATATATGATATTAACAAGTATTAAGCGATAAATAAACATTTTATCAACTTTCTATTTCGCATGCCCTCTGCTTTAGTCAGCGTAAAGCTCACCTGTTGCGGCAACAAAGCAGAAAATGAAAACCAAAACGAAACCAATCCTAAAATATAAACAACAACAACAACAACAAGAGCGAAAACAAGCAAAGTGAAGTGCGCTGATTGTTGTTGGGTGTCGCCTTATCAGTTCTATATATACCCTACACACACAGACACAGACTCGTGTATGCATGTGTGTGTGTATATACTCTATATGAATAATTAGTAAATCCAGTCGCGACTCGCGCGTTAATTGACTTTCAGCTATAGACTCGACTCAAAGTATATATATTTTCGTTCAACTTGTGTTTAGTTGTCTTTATCAACCAGTTTATAAATAAAAATAAATAATACAAAATTTGCCCAAAAATTCCATTGATAATGCCCGTTGTTCGTTGTTCTTATCACCTCTTTTTTCCATTGTTGTTGTGGCGCACGCTGTGGATTCACCTGCGTCGCATTACTCACACATTCAGACAAACTGCCCGATAACTGGCACTTGTAAACTAAATAACTGTCCCTGCCGCCGCCGCCCCCTCTCTAGCCGAGACGTAGACGCAGAGTCGACGTCTTTGACGTCAGCTGTCGCAGGCAATTAAACAGTTTTTAATGTCATACGGAAGAGATTAGTGGTATCGTTTGAGAAATACTCGCTACTCACGCTGTGGCGCCGTTAAGGCATCGAGTAAACATCAATTGCATAACCTCACAGAAAAGCATTCACAATTGCCGGCAGTCAAATGGTCGCCTGCCCGCCCACTGTGACTTTGCATGGCGCCAAAAAGGAAGTTTCCACAAGTGCGAGCATATATTAAAGGGAATTTCTGCATTGCAAACAATCTAATCACATATATTTATACTCAAATAGTTTTATATGTGTATGTATGTATGTATGTATGTGTGTGTGTATGGGAAGCTTGTTGTGCTTGATTATCATATTACAGTTATGCAATATGTGTATATTAATAATTAACAATTAATAGCTCAAATAAATTGTTCATAGAATTTCAATACACTTTAAGAATAAATACACAAACAAAGAGTTCAGCGATAAGCGTAATCAACAAAAAATAAAAAAAATACTTGAAAGCCAACAAGTTTTAGTTTTATTTTCTATATTTACTCTAAAAGAAAATATCAAAAATAAATAACAAATATTTAAATAATTTCATTATCACGACTTTGACTTTGTTTAACAATTCGTAGTCGTTGTTGGTTTTTATTATTAAGCATGTTGCTTTAAAGTTTAGGTTGTCTAGATAAATAGACGTACATATATACATGCACAAATAGCGCATATGGCGATTAAATATGTATATTTACGTATATAATACATATTTGCATGTGCAATTTGCCTCTGCTGCTGTCGTATTTCCTTAAGCACTTTGTGTGCCAAAGTGCAATTCGTAAGTAAATAGGGGATTATCAAGTGGAAAGAATACGCCTGGTCACACTCTGATGATAGGCTGAACGACGCGAAACAAGGCGACCGCACGTCATACGAGATCTCTTTTGTATGCACTCCCTGATTGACAACCTCTCACTCACGCGTGCCCCCCCCTCAAACACACACACACACACACACAAACACACGCGCGCGCTCGAAGCCACCCACATGACACAGTGTGCAATAAGTACAAGGTACGCTCAATACGGCGCCACAGTTTGTCTGTCTGGTAATAATTGTAGTTGTACGTCATTTGCAGCTGCAAACAACGTGTAAGAAAAAAAAAATAAAACCCGAGCTTGGCCATTTGCCACTTAACAGTGGTTAATAATTTATTAGCGGCCCACATGTGTACTCGCAGCAATGTACTCAGTACTCAAATACTCGGTGCGAATCGTGGCGGTTAAAACACGTAAAATTCGCGGAAATGATACGGAATTCCGATGAAGCCCGAATGTCTGATAAAAAAGAAGGCGAAGAAAGGAAATGACAACTAAAACACAGCAAAAATAAAGCGATGAGCACACACGCACGCACAAACAAACACATACACTTGCACAAGTAATTTGCATTGAATATGAATAGTGCAATATCGCAAAACTCGTCGTACCTGTGACTCAGTCGCACTCTCTTGCTCTTGCTCTTTTTAACTCGCGGTCTAATTGGCAATATCGATAGTCACATTTATCGATAAGTATGGCAGCAATATCAGTTTTAGTGTCAAACAATTGGGAATTAAAACCAAAAATATGACAACAAAAATGCGTTAAGGCGCTCGCGACAACGAACCAGCGACCAGCAAGCATGAAACAGTTAAAGACAACTAGACGAAGCAAGCTGAAAAATTCATTCAAAGAGCAGTGCCCAAGTGGCAAAAGCAACAGCGGCAGCTACAACAACGCCAACAATAACAACAACAACAACAAAAACCAGACAAATCACTGTGTGTGCGAGAGTGTGCAAAAGAAAACGAAGAAGCGACGCAACGCGACGCGACTAACTGGCGAAAGAGCAGCGAGAAAACAAAAGCACACACACACACACACACACACACATATCCATGCAAATACACACGCAAGACTCGAAAGCCCAAAGACAGGCAGCAGCGTGTAGAAATGAGTAAAAACCGTACAATAATCAAAAAATTGAGCGCGCCAGGAAAAGGCACAGGCAGAAAAGTAGAAGCAGAAGCAGAGAGGGGGAGCGCGACAGCAAAACGTCAACGTCGCCGCATACCGCAATATTCGCGCACTCGCCGCCGTCCCGCACACTGTTGCAATTGTCAATCAAAAGTAAGCACAGGGTCGCCTGACGCTGCCGCCGTCGCCGCCGTTGCTGTTGAGAAAATGATCAAATCAAGCAAAAACGTAGCCCCAACAACAACAACAACAACAACAACAACAAAAACAACAGGTGACGTGAAGTGGGGGAACACAACACGACGGCTGTCGCCAGCCTGTACCCGCGCTATTGTTGATTACGTACACACAAACACACACCCATCAAAAAACATGCATAAACACGCGCACGCACACACTCACAAACCCCCAGCAATAAATGTGTACATACGCGAATTTTTGCTGACTAAGGAAGGTCTGGGGAGCACCAGCAGCAGCAGCAACGATAACAACAAAACCATTTAAAACGTAGAAGCACAGCACAAAACGTAGCAGTGAAAAAAAAAGTGATAATAAAATAATAATTGCTACACACGCATACATATAAACATATGTATGTATGTATGTAGTATGTGCGATGCGATGCGATCGGCTGAGAGCGGGAGCGCCAAATGGCTAGAGTTGCCGCAGCTGTCTACACACGAACCAAAGAGGCTCTTCTCTTTGCACGCCAAGCCATTACACACGAGTGGAGCACGAGCAGCCATGTGGCGACGTATGCATGTGAGTATTTAGCCTGTTTTAATACTAGCCCCCCACAAATACAACTGCATATAGTATTGTATGGGTGTGTGTGTGTGTCTGTGCACACAAGCAACATGACTAATCCAAACAACTTGACAACACTGTCGCCGACGCCGCGCCGCGCCGAAGCCGCTGGCGTCGCTGTGGCCGCGCGCTGACGCTGCCTGTGCGCTTTGCTTTTGTGTATTATATTGAGTCAATTCACAAGAAACGAGGAAACCCGCCATCGTTGTCGTTGTTGTTGCTGTTGCTGTTGTTATTTTTGTTGTTGCTTGAATTTGTTTATATTTTTGTGCGAGAGTGTGTGGGCATGTGTGCGCTTCTGTGGTGTTTGTGCACGCGTGTGTGTGTTTGTGTGTGCATACATATGTATGGCTCTGTGTGTCAGTCAGGCTGTGTGTAGCATGAATCAAGCTGAAAAATTTTAATAATTTTGCTCGTTTTGTTGTTGCCGGACTGCAAACGGGTTTAGCTTGTTGAATGTGGGCCTGTGTGTGTATGTGTGTATGTGCATGTGTGTGTTAGTGAGTGAGTTCATTGCTGGGCCTGGTCTGGCTGGGGCCTGCTACTTGTTTTCAGCGACACAGACGATAATATGATGACACCAATACACATGCAAGTGGCCACTTGGAGCTTTCTAGAGCGCTTGATAAGCAATTTGTTGTTGTTGTTGTTGTTTTTTTTTTTTGCTCACTCTCTTGTGCTGCCTGCTGTTCGTCGCTGCGTCTCTGTCGCCTGCCATTCGATGTGCTCTATGACGTACTCGCTGCTGTTGTTGTTGTTGTTATTGTTATTTATGTTGTTGTTGCCGAGTCCCCCACCCGGCAACACTTGAGCGTTTGTCGGAAATCAAATTAATGCGATTAAGCAGCGCTAACGATCGTCGCTCT